TTTTTTGTCTCACAATAACAAGGATTGTCGAGAAAGCATGTTTGCCGTGGTTTTGTCAAATTAAACTGATCACAAAACATTTATTTACTTTCTTTCGTTTTCCTCCGCCACTCATAAATACCCGTGTCCTCCTGCAGCAATCCTGAGGGACAACTGACATCAATAACAACACAATAAAAAGTCTGACGTGTTGTAAAAACTGCTGTTTTTAGCACATTCTAAGACCGACGTGTTGCTACCAGACGTACGGTGTGAGCTAAAACTGAGTGCTACAAATGAAAAAGTCGCACAGTGTCTGCAGAATATATAGAAAAACAGGCTAAAATGCATTATCTTGTAGAGGCTCCGAGTCCGCTTGCAGAAGTGACATTTACATGTGGATGTTTCCTGGTCAGGTGCTGCAGCATGGAGGATGTGGTGTTGTGCTAGGCTAAATCCATTTTACAGTATTTACACTGGACTACGTTTTCCGCCTTACGACGTGAAAAATGGTCCCACACCTTTGACATTTTCTGTCTTTTTCGCACTCCACCGAGGTCCACGTTGTTCGCCATGGCTTAAAAGAAAGTTAAGTTACATTCGCTACTCGCGTGTGCATTCAGTCCAGTGTGTATGTGCATCACTTATTTCGGTCCGGGTGAAACATGACCCCGGGCGATTGCAAAGCCATGAATTAATTAAATATGAATTAAACGAATCCTCGAGGCAGAGAATTTGACTTGAGGATTTTTTGTACTCTAATTATTCGAGGTACTCGGGGAATCGTTTCAGCCCTACTTAAAATATAAATTCTATAGTTTTTTTAAATATCTAATTTTTCAATAATTATTAATATGGATCAATATGAATTTTATCAATATGCTTTTTTTCTATATTGTCCAGCCCTAATTCAAACAAAAGAAATTTCACATGTTGGAGTCTGAGTCCATGTCCAAATTCAAGTCCTGATGTTGCAAGTCTGAGTTCAAGTGCAAGTCATATTTACCTTGTCAATGACAAATAGCTGCTGTGGGTCCTCTTTGAAGACGGAAGGTAGTAGAAGCACTGCAGCGTTGACAATCTGACCTTCAAAAAAATACAGAAGAATTGTAAAGAAAAATATAAGTGTCTCAAATAACACAGCGGCGCGTCTGGTCTTCAATCAGCCTAAAAGAGCACACGTCACCCCTCTGTTCATTGAGCTCCACTGGCTACCACTAGCAGCACGCATCAAATTCAAATTGCTAACACTAGCATACAAAGTCTGAGATGGTACGGCTCCCATCTACCTGAATCCTCTTGCAAAGGTTTACGTCTCGGCCCGGCCGCTCCGGTCATCACAGGATCGTCGGCTAACAGTGCCTACACCACGCTCAGGACAGTCCAGACTCTTCTCATGCATCGTTCCACAAATGTGGAATGACCTTCCTGATACTACCAGAACTGCGGCGTCCTTTTCTATTTTCAAGAAACTCTTGAAGACCCTGCTCTTCAGAGAGCATCTTCTAAACTAGCACCCTCCCTGCACCCGTCCCCCCTCTATACTGCCCACTCCTTGTTCCTTCCTCTCCATGACTGATGTCAATGTGTTGTTGTTACTATTGTTGTTGTTAGCCTCAAGGGCAAAATGCCGATTATCACTTGTAAGTCGCTTTGGACAAAAGCGTCTGCTAAATACATAAACATAAACACGTAATTGAGCATGGTAAAGTAAAATGCATAACAATTTATTAAACTGTAAAGTTATTAGAGGCACAACATACCTCTTCTTTCCTCCTCTGTCTCTGAGGCATCAAGCCCAACCAAACACTTGTCCTTGAGGGCACTTTTAGGAGCCTTGTCAACAATTTTTGGGACATCTTGGCAAAGTTGGTGACTATGCGTTTCTCCACATCCACTTTGCTTATGAGCTTCACTTCCTCTAGAATCTAAAACACACACAGTACGAAAAAGATATTGATACCAAGAATTTAAAAGGAACTCCAGCTATGAGGACGTGTTTACCCTAATAAGCCAATATTTTTCTGTTGTACCAAAATATGTTGTTAGAAGCACACAAAATATAGCCAATTATTTACAAAACTATGTTTAGTACATTTGTTGACATACGTAAGACACCATGTTTTCTGCGTGCAATGCACTCTGGGGACGATGACGTATGTTTATGTGCTCACCGTTATAATAATTAAGTAAAATGCTGCATTGCGCTGCTTTTGGATGCAATTTCCAGTCAAAAGGCAACAAGGGGAGTGATGTGAGTTACAGCTTTCCTACTGACAAGAAGAGGCAAAAGCAGTGGGAAGATGCCTGTGGACAGACAACTTTTTTCAGCTGCCAAATTATGCATCCCCATCTTTTAAACTGTTACCTGCTATGCTGAAACCACACAATGTATATAAATATATATATTTATATTAAAACTAAAATAAACACAGAAATACCAGGTTTTATCTTAACAATTTGTACGTGACGGTTAATAGAATCTTTACTGTGTCCCAGATGAATTTTTCAACGATCTGCTATGGTATTTCTGTGTTTTTTTAAAATAAATATATATATATATATATTTATTTATATACATTCTGTGGTTTGAGCATAGCAGGTAACACTTTAAAAGATGGGGATGCATAATCGTCAGCTTGAAATGTTGCACTGCCGAAATATGCATCCACTACTACTTCAAGTAATGAGGGGATGCTATTCTCAGCATAACACTGGGCAGAATGTGGGATGGAGCAGGGAGGAGGCGATTTGCTATAGGTTATGCACAACTGTTTTTCCTCCACTTTTTCTACAAAGATTGGATCAAACTTCTTCACCACGCTGCTGAGTCGGGTTGTCAGACATGAGTGGTACCACACGTGCATATTTGCTACAAAACTCACGTGTCTGCAACTTTTTGCGTAATTTAGAGGGGTGAGTTGTACCAGCGTAGATTAGTCGGTTCTGCTGTTGAAACCCGTTGTTCCACCGCTCCGCAGCGCGCAAGCGTACACGCGAGCTCACTACAGCCCCCTAAGTTGGCCCCGAATTCAATATGTTTTTCACATGCCAACAAAAAGAAAAAAAGTAATTCTCTTAAATGAAAAGTCTCAGCTATTAACTTGCATGCTTTGGAACAGAAAAAGTGCATAAAAACCACAATAATTCAAGCTCCACTCTGATGCTCACCTGTTCCAGCCAGATGCCTGCATCAGAAGGTTAGGCTCTAAATTGAGCTTTATCAGAGAGGACAGTTGCTCACATTAGTGCTGGTGCAAATGGAGAGCATTTCAGCAGCTCGGGCTGTGTCAAAGAGGAAAGATACAAGCTGCAACAGCTCTGACCTGAGCGTGTCAATACGCTGGAGTCAGCCCCGCCTGGAAGTTGTTCGCTTCCCATGTCAGCCGCGAAAGGACTACTAAGCAGTTGGGGTCTCAGTTTCTGGGTTTCAAAGTCGGCAAGTCGCTGAGAAAACTCGGAGCTGAGTAAGTGCACTGTTTTCAGTTTGTTCGAAACTGCGGAGGGTAACGCCAACGCCGATACTATCACTAAAAGCTAATGACTGTAAACAGAAAATAGGGGGCGCTCCGGCGCTTCGACTGGCGCGAAAACACCGCAAAGCACTGTGGGATTTGAAGTCTTCGCGGCAGATTGGACCGGCGGGCCCGTTTTAATAAAATTTTTAAATTTAATCTCGGGGGCCAAATAAAAATAGACTGCGAGCTAAATTTGGCTCGAGGGCATGCGTTGGGCACCTGTGATCTAGCCCTACTCTCAACAGTCTGCCGATTTAAACAGGAATACACCACACATTGTTCAAGATGGCTGCATCTTTCTTTTTTTTGCCTCGGAGCAGCTAGTCTATTCCCCATTTGATAAGGGAGGTGGCGCACAAAAAAAAAACAACAGTTGGAGTAGTTAACTGCTTTACTAACTAACTTACAATACTAACGCAGCTTTCTGTTACCCTACAAGCAGCATAATATACAGTCCCGAGTTTCATTTACCTACAAGGAATAGTGTTAGCTACCGCTAACAAGCTAAAGTGGCTAAGTAGTTATCAGTTTAGCAAACATTCTGCCATTTCAAATGTAGAAATCGGCACCGCGATTCTGTACAGCTAACTTTAGTGAACAGTTCACAACAAGATAATAATTTTTATAAATGTAATCTACTGAATTTACCTTGACGGTCGATCTTCACCTCCGTGTCAGGGCGGGAAGGAACAAGAAGCAACAGCAGCAGCAGACCAAAATGGTGATGAGTCTTCTGGATTTTACCGACACCTACCGATGGTGACGTTTGTGAGGAGGTGGGGGAGGGGTGGCTACACAAACTTTATTGAAACATGCACAAAACGAAACAAAGGCATAAACTTTTAAAGTGAGTGTAGGTTACAACCCTTTTATCAGTGTTTAGAAATATATTATAGGAAGTAGTTTTAATTAGAACATACAACTGCATTGGTATCGGTTCCTAGTATTGGTTAACTTTTAACGAGTACAATTACAGTATCAGTATCAAAGTAATGAAGTATAGCCAAACATTATTAATTCACATCATTACATTTCTTTGACTCTTCTTTAAAAAATGTAGTTACAAAAAATTACCCTCTATATAAAAGGGCCATGTGAGCATTGTTACACAAAGCCAGGAGTTATTAAGATTAGGCATAGATCTTCAAACAGTAAAAAGGTTCTTCAAAGCACTAAAAGTAAGTATAAATGTGACAACCTCTCTTCAAAAAATTAATCAGTTCTCAAAAGAACCTTAAACAGCAAGGAAAAGGTTCTTCAACTGAAAAAGGTTCTCCAGGGCACTCAAAGTGCTTTAGAGAACTTATGAAGAACCACTTTTATTTAGAGTGTACGCTCTCCAATTGCGCAAATAAACGTTTCATCTTCAAAAAAACAACGTCTGTTGGGTGGATGTCCTCACAGCTGCACAGAGAAACTTAGAAACTCAAAGGAAAGCGACTCACTGCCAGCTTGCGACGGTGAGGCGGAAACGATTTAAAGGGATAAACTTGAATTACGCACCAGAGAATAAAAAGTGGTTTCCGAGCCGTAGACGCTCATCCAGTCTTGTGCGTTTCTTTCTTTCTCCTGAGGTTGGCTGCTAACAGGTGGCGTCGCTGGGAAGAGAGCGCAGGAATTTGACTCAACAGCAGAACTGATCTGCATGTGAGGCAAACAAGGGAGGGACTTCAGCAAAAGTCAGCGGTGGCAACAGCTGACAAGGAAGTTCCTCCACCTTCCTGCGCTTTACGCGCTGCGGAGGAAACCCGACCTAAACGTTCATGAGGAAATAAAACAAAATCATTTCAATCTAAGAAGGAAAACTAAACTTGTGAAATGGAATCAACTAAATTATATAATGTTGGTAGCTACCTGTCATTTTATAGACCTGCAAAGACACACCTGGAACCAAAACCAAGACTTGATTTAGTTATATAGACCAGTGTCGCCAACTCCTCCTGATAGAAAGTAGCTGAAGTTGACACAGAAAGTCACCCAGATGTCGCCAGAAGACGTCAAATGCTAATAATTTGCATATTTATGGCGTCATAATGCCTGATTGGCTTTCATTTTCCCCATAGCATATATATATATATATATATATATATATATATATATATATACACACACATTAAAAACTATTTTATGTGTTAAAGTTATTAATTAGTATGATTAAAACGGCCCACATTGCTTTGATATTCAAAATAAATTCCAAAAGTATCAATAAAGTGGCATTAAGACAGATATGGTGTGGTGATCCAAACAGTTCTGTTGTAGGATATAACTCAGACCTCCTGCTCTCCTCATTCTCACAGACAATTTCCTAAAAAGCTGGGGGGGGGGGGGGGGGGGGTGTTACACCTCATAGTTTCTCAACTTCTCTGTTGTGTATTCTCTCCATCGTGATAATAGAGGCGCACCGAGCAAAAGCGAGCGGGTGTCTCAAAGTATAACCATCCCTGTGTCACTGAAGGAAATTTAGATGAGCCGCAGAGCTGCGTGTGTAAACGGGACGGTAGTTGAAACTCCCGATGACTTTTTTTGCCAAATGCAGGAAAAACCAAAGTGTCTGACGGCTGCAGAACCAGAGATGGCAGGTTGACGCCTGCGCTGTCTCTAGTAGAAGCGTGAGCCTGCAGCAGCAGTAGACGTTAGTCGGCGGTCTCCAGCTCTGCGGTTATACCTTTGTCTTCGCCCAGCCAAAAACGGTTTATTATTGGTCAGTCCTCGTGCACATGTGCAGATTATCGTTCTCTTTCCTTACTTCTGGAAGAACGGTTCAGAGTGCAAATGGTTTCTTTGTTGCTAATCTGTAGGGAATATCTACAATGAAGTTCTACAGAAAGTAGCAACGGGTCCTGAGAAATGTCGCTGGGTTTGTCGCTAGGCACTTTTTGGAAAAAAGTCGTTGACGAGGGTCAAAAAGTTGTTAGGAACAGCGACAAAGTCGCTGAGTTGGCAACACTGGTTTAGACTTTTAACAGCAAATTAAAGACACAGCTGTGTTGAATAAATATCCTAGCTAGTTGCTGCTCAGCTACATTCCAGACATCATTACAACCATCATATTTCTGCAGGGACATGAACAGAAACGATGACACAGATCTAAATTACAGCTGTTTTGTATTGTCAAGCTATGAGTTTTATATTGACACATTTTAACATTACAGTAAAAAATATGCTCATTCCATTAATTTAGTTTAAATTTTAGTCTTGCTTTTACACCATAGGCCAGTTGCTATGTGACACACTTTTTGCTTTATTGAAACTTATTTGGCAAGTAGAGTGCTGTAGGTGAAATGTAACTGGTGTTTAGTTCTCTTCTTTTGAAATAACAAGCACATAAATGTAGGATCACTTCAGTATAAGAATATAGTTTGGTCTAAATTTGCAGTTTCTTCTACTCCTTTCCAGTCATATGAGGCCCACAAGTCTAACATTGGTCCCTAAATGTTTGTATTTTCCTTCAGCTTGTGCATGAACCTTTAAGGGGCTTGGTCATAAATAGTTTGAGAAGATTGATAAATGACTGAAACTATCATTCTACTGGTGGGTTTGCAAATGATGACACTGGCCAAGAAAGCACAACAGCGCCTCTACTTCCTGCGCAAACTCAAGCGGGCAAGTGCTCCACCACCCATCCTGATCACATTCTACAGAGGAACTATTGAAAGCATCCTCTCCAGCTGTATCACTGTGTGGGGCGGTAGCTGCACTGACTAGAACAGGAAAGCTCTACAGCGCATTGTGAGAACAGCTGAGAGAATAGTTGGTGCACCACTCCCCTCCCTGCAAGACATTTACACCAATCGCCTCACCCACAAAGCCATCACATTTGTCTACGACGCAACCCACCCCGCACACTGTCTGTTCAGCCTCCTGCCCTCTGGAAAGAGATACAGAAGTCTCCGCTCCCGCACTACCAGGCTCACCAACAGCTTCGTCTACCAGGCTGTGAGACTGCCGAACTCTCTTCCCTCCCGGCTCCCAGCCAGCAGAATCACCAGTGTGACAGAAGTACAGGAAGACAGACTGGACTCTACACCCCCTACCCCCCATCCACGCACACTTTCCAAGAAGGAAATACTCGTTGAACCAAGAACTGGGAAACATTCCTGATTGGAAACAACTACCTCTGCATTGCACACCTGCTGCTATATATTTTTAGTATATGTTTAGCGCTATTTACATTACTTATATTACTATTATTGCGGCTATAGTCTTATGCTGCATTAAAACATAAACCCCTAACTACCACAACCTGGGACTACCTCAAGTAGAGTAGTATACTACTTCCAGGAACACTGTTGGAACACCTTATTTAATTTATTTGATTATAGGTTAGGTCTTGTCTCTCCTGTTACCTATTTAATATTACCTTATTGTTAGGGCTGTTTTTGTTGTGCATCTGCACTTTATGTTGTCAATGTCTACGCATGGGACAGTGTGAAATGTAATTTCAATTCCTTTGTATGACAAGCACATTTGAAGAAAATGACAAATAAAGATTTCTATTTCTATATTTTAACATAAATACAAACCTCCTTTGTGCTTTAACATTTTGCATAAAAACTTGATTTGCAATGCAATGCAATTTATTAATTGGAAAATTGCTTTAATTTTAGGTAAATAAACAAATAGAAATAATTTCCAGAAGCTTTTTTTGGGGGGAGGAGCAGTTGTAGTACCACAGAGTTTCAGAGGGGAGCAGCATAGGACAGCTTGCCTGAAAGTCCACTGATATAAATGTTTTCATTACAAAATTTCCAGAGATATTCAATAATTTTGCTAATTTCTTCCAACATATGATGTTATAGTTCATGAAATATTTTACATTATTTGGGTATTTAATAATTAACCACAAAAAATGTGTTTCCACAGAATCCAAGCAGGTGAATTGTCCATCCGACATGCAGCCACTCCCATTTCCCAGATTGACACTTCATGGATGTTCTATGGGCCATTGCACTTCAGCTTGAATGGCATCACACTCCATTTTTGTGCTGATTTGAAGCAAACAGATGCATTCATGCAAGGCGATGCTCCAGCTGAGTTTTCAGAGCCAGATGTGTTTGGGAGACGCATAGTGTTGATTGTAAACACAGCACATATTTCTTGCATGAGTGAAGAAGAAAACAACAACAACAGTTTGGCATTTCTGTATAATTTGTTTTTAAAAATTGCATACTTTTTGAATTCATTGCATCCCCCATGACAGACATTAAACTCAATGGAGTAATAAAAAGTAAAACTACCAACAAATACTGACGTTTGAGCAAAGATCAAGTAAAGACTGTTTCTCCTGTGGAGAGGAGAGCCAGTCGTGCTTGTACAGCTGATCTAAAACGTTGGAAGGACTGACATCACCCATGGAGAGTTTAACTCTATTCACCATCTTAATGCTAGAGGGAGTATGTGGTCAGGGGCTACTGCTTTAATTGTGTCTGAGTACAATCTGTGGTTCTGATCAGATATCCAATGATTCAGGATGCTGCTCCACATCTGGAAAACTGTTTGATCAGAAGGGCACACCTTTGCTGATTGTGTTTGATTTGTAATTTGTGTTAGTGTGCTTCTAGTCTCAGCTTTGACTGAACTGCAAAATCTAATGGATGGATGGAATTTTAAAGATCTTAACAACCAAAGACCCCCAACCGAACTGTGTGTGTGTGTGTGTGTGTGTGTGTGTGTGTGTGTGTGTGTGCGTGTGCGTGTGCGTTTGTGTGTGTTGGCTCAGTGAGGGCCTGGTTGCTTGAATGAACTACAAAATCCTCTAGTTCAGGGGTGTCAAACTCAAACTCACACGGGGCCGAAATGAAACTCTGGGACGGAGTCGAGGGCCAAACTTAAGATTTTTTGAAAAAGTGACGGCAAATGTGCACATTTTCTTTATCAACATAAATGCAATTTTGAACCTTTAAATTTGGAAACAAACTTATTTCTGCATTAACACTGAATGTGGAATAACCAAATTACACACGAGCAAGTCAGTTTTAAATAAAAGGCATCAGTGGTATTCATTACTTGTGGTATAATCAGCATTTTTAAAATCTATTCAGGATTTATGTTTTCTTGTTTATTCATTTTTCTTATTTTTTATTCTCTTTTTTTCCTCCTGTAATACATGTCATCGCTGCTGTGACGTCTAGCTTTCCCCACTGAGGAACAATAAAGGGATTTTCTATTCTATTCATCTATCTGCAGCCTTTCCACTTCCTGTTTACTGTAGGTTAAATCTTTTCTCACAGGCCAACAACAAAATAAAAATATCATTTTATCTTAAATGAAAATGCAACATCTCACCTGTTAACTTTCATGTTTTGGAGCAGAAAAAGAGCAGAAAACCAACATATTTAAAGCTCAGTTTGCTCCACTGGTTTACTGTGATGCTCACCTGTTCCAGCCAGATACCTGCATCATGGGGTTGATCTGAGCTGAGGAGGAGACTCCTGTTGTTTTGTTCATCTTCATCATAATAATGACAACATTAGATGACAACAGGTGCTCACATAGGTTTGTGCTGATGAACATGTCTGAGCAGCTTGACCACGTTGTTGTGTGTTGGGGAGGAAACACAACGACAGCAACCACAGAGTCGTGCTGGTTTGAGCGTGTCGCTGCTCGCTGGAGTTATATCAGCTCTGTCTGGACGTTAGTTGGAAAACTTTCTCTTTCAGTCGTGAACACATTACTGAGCGGCTAGAATCTCCGTTTCTGGGCT